AGTTAATCAATCAATGTATTATTTAAAAAGGAAATAGAACATTTCAGATTGAAATGTAATCAACTTAAAAAAATTATTTAAAATGTATAGTGTTCTGCATCCGTGTTTGCCTGCAGGCCAGAAGAGGGCACCAGATCTCATTATAGATTGTTTTGAGCCACCATGTGGTTAATGGGAACTGAACTCAGAACCTCTGGAAGAGCAGCCAGAGTTCATCTCTCTTTATAAAGCATAACTTTCAAGAGACAGAAAAAAAGATAGTAAATAAAACTATAAAAGAAAACTCCATTAATCTAAGATTAAAAAGATCTTAGGTTATAAGAAGGTAAATAAATATTTACCCTTTTATAACATGAGTCACCATAAATGTACATTGATTCATGAATGAAAATTAAAAGAATTTTTAAATCTCTTATTACATATTTACGAGAAATCCAAAACACACAGAGAAAAGTTAAAATAGCAGAAACACATTACAACATAAACAAAATGATGTCATATGAAATATCCAATTAAAGGTGAAAGTTCCTACTACAGATAGACATGTCAATGGCTTACATAGTACATTCAAGTTTCCCAAAGCTCTAACAATACCAAACAACTTTACTCTAAATAGACTTGTAAGAAATAGCTAACAAATTCATGATTGGAGAATGCAACATGTTTTTCTTAGTAAGAGATAAGTACATCAAAATTAAACATAAAAACTACAGAAAACTGAATTCAGAGTATATGTTCTAACTAGATCACAAGGTCATGACCACATGGCAGCCCAGAATGCAAGCCCTGATAATGTCAGGGTTCAGAATTGTTTTCCTTATTTTTTGAAAAGTGTGTGTACTGTGTGTGTGTGTGTGTGTGTGTGTGTGTGTGTGTGTACTGAGGGAGAAGGAATATTGATCAATTTGTGGAATCAGTTTCCCCCTTCTAGCTTGTAGGTCCAGAGTTCAAATTCAGCTCATCACACCTGGCAGTAATCATCTTGACCTACTGAACCATTCTGCTGGCCCTAAGAACCAGTTCCACACACTCCATTTCTGAGCTTCAATTTCAGAAGCAAAACATAAGAACACACACACACACACACACACACACACACACACACACACGCCTAAAGATTGTTACGCTCCTAAAACTCTTCAAAAATTGTTAGAACATTTTTCTATGAATAAAATGTTAATTTTATAGCCCAAAGAACTAAAAGTTCACATGAATAGAATTTCAAAAACTATTCAAAGCTAAGACACAATGTGCACATTATCCAACCCAACAAAACAAAAATCAAAACCTAATTTTTTGTAACCAGTGAGTGACTGATTTGAAAACTGAACTGAGGCTAATCTTTGTAGCACACCACCTGTACTCTCAGTACCTGAGAGTTTGAGGCAAAAGGATCACGAGCTCTAAGTGAGATAGGGATACATAAGAGATCTTGCCTCATAAATAATCACTAAGATGAAATGAAAGCACCAAGAATGCCAAAATGCTAATAAGCTAAAAAGGTTAAAACAAATTAACAACTTTTAAAAAGGCAGAATCAGTGAGAAACTCAGAACAAAGATTGTAGCCACAAGACTTACTGATGGATTAGATCAGAATTAAGAAGAGAAGTATCGGGCTGGCATGGTTGCTCAATGAGAAGACCTGAATCTGATCTACAGAACCAACAGAAGGATAGAACCAACTTCTAACTGTCCCCTAACCTCTACAGTCGTCTTATGAAATGCATGTTGCCCTCCACCACACTTCATGTACAATACATATACCTACATGATCTTTAAAAAAGAGAAACATCATAGTAGCCTGCCATGTAAAAGGTAGAGAAAAAGTCAGGGGCACACAAATAGGGAGTATATTAGACTTCAGATGTTTACAAGTGAGGACTTCAAATAGATATTGAGATAGATGCCCTGGACATAATAAGGACCATTCAGGATGGGAGCACAAATTTGGAAACTGCCAGTGCATAGTTAATGTCCATCAAGAAAATGAGTCTCCCAGAAATATATAATCTATTTCTTTCAAAACAGTAACAAGGCTGAGAGCTGGCTCAATTAGTAAAGTGCTGGCCTCTCAGACATGAGGCCCTGGGCTCTGATCCCCACTAAGCACAAAAAGTCGGACAAGTAATGCACATCTGTAATCCCTGGAAAGAAACATGACAATTCCTGGAGGCTCTCAGGCCATGTAGCCTAGCATATGCACATTAGGGAACAACACGAGACCTTGTCTCAAATAAAATGCAAGGTGAGAATTGACAAGCATTCCCATACACCTAACACATGAATGAACACATATTGCGCGCGCGCACACGCACACACAGAGGGAGAGAGAGAAAAACCCCACATTTACACTACCAAAAGGTAGGGCTGTGTCTCAAATTAAATATATATTTACAATAAGGTATGTACAGGCTATCAGCTGCAGATCAGAAGAAACATGAGTCTTAGAAGTAATGGATTGCCAATGATCTTATCGATGTGTTAAAAAATGAGAAATTTATCACACAGCTGGCATCGCAATTACATGTGCTGTTAAAACTAACAGAGATGAGGGAAATATGATTTGCATAAAAAGAATCACTATTCAGTGAAGCTAGGAAAGGATTAATTGCACAAAGTCCCTATGTTATCCAAAGTGACTCAGAAAATTAAATTTTTACTTTAATGACTGATACTTTAAAAAATAATTTAGGGGAAAATCCTTCCTCCACTTTCCATCAATGGCAAAATGCCTCTACTGATCAGATACTGAGATAGAACAGTCACCAAGTCTTTGAGGAAAACAACCATAAAGTATAAGAGGTCTTCTCTACTCCAAAAGAGATGAATACAGACCACAGGACCAGGAGCATAAGTATGCCCAAGGACATGACCCTCGGCACATTTACTGACATCTATTCTTTTGACAGAGCTTAAATTTCCATCTCCTTCAAACTAGAAAGCATTTAGAAAACAAGACTTTCCCAATATCCTGAGAAGGCCTGCAGCTTCTTTTATATCACAGGCAAATTGCCAATTTTCCTTCTAATGACCTGAAGGCTTATCATCCTTAGTATTATTTCTACAACCAGACCAAAGCCTGCAAATGAGCCACCAAAGTACTTAAGAAACCACAGCACCCAGTAAGAAAAAGAGCAGAAGCTCTGAGCTGAAGGAGGTAGTGAGTGCCTGGAAAAAGCAAAGCAAGACACTCAAAGTCAAATGAAACAAACAACATAAAATACTTTGTAGTTTAGCAGATCTAATTTCCTCCCCAAACAGGGTTTCTCTGGGTAGTCCTGGCTGTCCTAGAACTCACTCTGTAGACCAGGCTGGCATCAGACTCAGACCTGGCTGTCTCTGCCTCCCAGTGCTGGGATTAAAGGCGTGGGACACCACAACCTGGCAAAATCTATTCTGTGAGTTCCAGACCAGCCTGGTCTACTAGAGCTAGTTACAGGACAGCCTCCAAAGCCACAGAAAAATTCTGTCTCAAAAACCAAAAAAAAAAACAAAAACAAAAACAAAAACAAAAAAACCAAGAAAAAAAGCTGTTTACATAAAGGGGTAAGTGATCATTCACTCCCTAATATCTGAATTAGGGAAAAAAACAGTAAAGTACAAAAAAACTAAACAGACACCAAAAACCTAATATACTAACATAAACAAGTAAAGTTAAAATCACAATACTGAGCGATATGATAAAACAAACACATTTGTTATAGCCACGCCAAAACCCATAATCTAATGAATGCTTGAAGCATCCGAAATTAAACCACCTGCTCAGGTGTTTTTAAAATGTCCCTTACATGCAGGCAAAACACAGATAACAAACACACACATAACAACATCAACAAGAAAAAAAAAAAAAAAAAAAAAAAAAAAACC